AAATAATTTATCTACCCATATTATATCGGATTCTAAATTGTGCTGATTTTGCTAATGACAAATGAATGTCATATCAAATTACAGTTGCCATTATAAATTATAGTAAGTAATTTAGTAAAATAAATATTACATTTCTCTACATATTATGTGAATAGTATCATTCCAATTGAAAATAATAATGATTTTTCTGAATATTTTTAGAAATATGTCGGTAGTTTGTAAAAAAAATAATTTTATAACATTATAAAATTTAATAGGTACCTATTATAAAACGTTTTTATTGTTTGTAAATTATAATATATATCAATAAATATTTTAAATAGGTACCTACCTACTTTAATAAATTATTTAAAATATTTCCCTGATAAAATAAATTAAAATGTCCAATTATTCAATTTTACATTTCATTTGTTTATTGTTATACCTAATATTATATCATTATTTGTAAAAATTTATAAATTCTTGCAAATTAAAATTTTCTTATAAAATATGCACACTGTTTAGTTTCGAAAATAAATAGTTAAATCGCTTCACTTTCGAGACTTAGGTACCTACGTTGCTTACAACTTTGAACTACAAGTGCACAAGCTACAAGTGTTTATGATTTAATAGATTCCGATTAATTTCACCAGCTAACCTAACAACTTAATAATTAAATTAATATTCATGATTTATTAATTATTCATAGAAATATAATATATCCATTGTAGTTAACACCTAGTTAAAAATTATAATGTAATAGAAAAATACAATTTTGGAATAATACCTTAAGTATCCTTTTTATATAGTACCTACCTACATTTAATATAAATAATTGTATTAATTTAACCTTGTATTATACGTCAGAGGAAAATTGTTAAGAACAACTTTTGGCATCAACCAAGGGCATTTATATAGAATTATATTTAGGGGGGAGACACGTTTAAATATATTGTTATAATATTAATAGGTATATTATTATTTACGTAAATCTTTGATGTATAAATATTGGTACTTTGTGACTTGTGTGACTTTTGATTCTAAATTAGGTATTTAAAATATTATTCATAATGATGATAGGAATTGCAAATAAGAACTTTACACTGTACCGTGGTTTAGGTCTATTGGATGTACGTAGATAATTTAATTATTTAAATATAAAATATCTGAATAATAGTTATTATTGCTATTAAAATATTGTTACGTAACGTCATATTGTAAAGAAAACCAGTTAACCACCTATTATTGTATTGAGTTTTCTTCACATTGTAGTTATTCATATTCACAATAATAGCTAATAATATAATGATTTTATATACATTTGGTTATATTTATATATAATAGGTACATAATAGGTACATTATATTTTATGTAATGTTTATGGTCAATTATGAATATCTTGTATAGAATATTTTTAATTTAATTTTGCATTAATAGAAGATATCGTATTAAATTAACTAAAAATAAAATGTTATCGTGTAATTATAGTTACCTAATTATTCGTTTTTCGAATCTTAACGTATATAAATATTTTACTATAAGTAGGCAGGTATCATGTTCTTTTTTTCGGATATATAACAAATATAATCGATAGGGTTGGAGTAGTGGTCAGTGGAGTCGCACTGCGGGGTTGCATCCGAACAGTTTATCTTTTTCACGACCATATTGAACCCAGTATAAATCAAACAATAGGAATCCAAAAAGTATCAAACACAATAGGATCGAGCACAGTAATACCAACGTACAACGTGGTCTTTTATATTAACTTACTAGGTAACTAAATTGGTATTTGTTTTCTAATTTTCAAATACTTAAACATAATACTGTCGTTTTTTGTTTTATTATGTAATATTGCTTTAAAAATATTAAATACCATAACAAAACATGAATAGATAAATCATAACTTTTCACATAACATTCACTCCAATATTTTCCAATACTTTTCCTCTTTTCGAAAAAATAACTTTAATTTAATAATTTTCCTTCACGTATGGAGTATCTAGGTATATCAAAAAAAATTGGTTTACTGTAATATGTTTATACTAAATTAAAACGGCGTAACGAGTAAAGTCAAATAACTAAACAAGTGAAAACGAACTGATAGTTGACTAGTTTTGAGTAGTGATCAAAATTTCAGGAAAAAAAAGGTTTTCAGAAAATAAATTGGCTTCCAGTTTTTATCTGAAAAATTGGGAAAATTTGGTTTCATTTAAAATTTTGGGAAAAAATGGTTTTGACGAAAAAACTGGTGTTTTCCATGAAAAATTTAAAAATAAAAATAAATAATTTATATTTTATCCCCCATTTCCGCCAATAGTGTTTTCAGTTTTGTTGTTATATATTTTCCTAATAATTATTAATTATAATGGTCATTGCTCATTTGTCAATGGTGCACTGTCTACATATTTTGTCTACAACTTACAAGTAGTTTTATTTATATAACATTCAAAAAAATAGGTGATTTATTTTCGGGGAAATACGCTCTCCCACATAAATACCAATTTTATATGCAACTAGGTTATTTTTAGAACAAATATTGAAATATCCTTGTTAATATTTTTAATGGTTTAATAATTTTAAATTTTAATACAATAATACATCGATATAACCGTATTGGCAAATACGAAATGACAATGACAGGTTTCCTTGTCTATTTTTGAAAATGTTTTTTTTTTAATTTTCAGAAAACTTCGGTTTTTTCCGAAATTTTCTGGAATTTTGATCCTTATTAGTTTTGAGTTTAATATTTTTACTCTTGGTTCACAATTCGAAAACCCGATTCAATATCTAAGTGGTTTATTTCAAAAGTCATAAAAATGTAATATAATAATATTATTTATTATGTGTGTAGATGACAAATAAAAATCGGAAAAATGTACAAACAGCATAGTATAAGTTTAGTATAGTTAGAAACTGAAAAATCGAGGCTGTTCGGACTCGACTACCCTGTGGCCGGTCCCTGAATGGTTTACGAATATTTCATGTGTAATCCACATGTGGCGATGGTTGGTTGTAAACGGGCAGTAAAATTACAACGTTGCATTCTTTTGATTGTGTTATTAAAAAAAAAAGGGGGACCGTGGTAAATTGGGTTTCACCGAACTGCAGGGTGCGACATCCTCTCGCCAACCCTCTACATAATAGGTCCCATAACCAAATACCGATATTATATTATGATACTGACCAACCTACCTCTCCATATGCATTAGTAACTGAGTTTTCTGACGACAAGGTTATATTATATCAATAAGATTCATTAAATCTCCATAACCACATATTGAGCTCATCATGTCAAATCTAGTACAAAAATGGTGTACTAATCAATTATTATATGAATCACATAAAATTCTCACATACCACATTCACTCTTGGTATTCTAACTTATCCTGAGGTGTATTAATCGAACGCATGAATTCAAAATTCAAAATTAAATAAAAATATTTATAAAATAAGCGTTAAACATTTAGTTCGAAATTGTGTGCTAAAGTTATTTGAAAAAATAATTTTTTTGAACCACAACCATTCTGCAAAGTCTTTATACTTAATTTTAATTCTTGTGGAACGCCATATAAAACTTAAAAATAAAAATAATAATTGTCCGAACAAACAAATTGTAATGTGTATTATGACAAAAAATCATGATGGATAATTGTAATTATACTAATTTATTATCATAAAATATGTAGGAATGTTATGTTATGGTCTTATGTTATATTTTGTTATGCTTTAATATTGTGAATTCTGAACTAAAATGATGTGATACAATTTGTAGATATTTTAACTATTGATTCTAATATAAATGCATTATTATAAGTTATAATTTATAACTTTAGCGTTATCTAACACAATAATTTTTTTCATTTTGAATTTTTTAGTTTAAAAGGAAGAGATATTACCTAGGTTTACATAAGCAAACCCTTAACACTGGTAGAGTTTCCATAGGCCCATTACAGGTAAGAAGATAAAACAGGCGGAGCTTATATTAGACCTTTTTATTACCTTTTTATCTATAACCGGTATTCTGGCAGAGTTTACATTCGTCCCGCATTACATGAGAACTCGCGAAAGTCTACCTATCCTTAAATGTGTGAATCTATGTAACCATTAGCGGTATAATAATATTTATTTAACCTAATATTACATTTTTGTAAAGTATTTGAATCTACGGTCTTTTGTTTTAGAGTTACACCAAAAACCAAAATCCTTAATTTTTATTTTTTTCCCCTTTGCTTTTGAAAATTATTGGGAATTTTAAACTTTGCTCGAATGCACCAACTAGATTCACTTTCCCATCGAACAAGATACTGTTGAAGAAAATCGGAGCTTCTGTACTGTACCAAACGGCGATGAGGCACACACGAAAAAAAAAGCAACACTCACATTATTGTAAAATCAATACATTCATCGCTCCACTTAGAATCCAAAATTAAAACAGTAGGTACATGAAGAAGCAGTACTTTTATAATAGACTCCATTCTAGACTTCGTTCTCATTCAAACCACCTCATAACTAATACTTAGCCACACTAAAAATTACGGATAGAAAACAAATTGGTACCGTGAATCGTGATATGCTATATAAACGGTTAAGACATAGAAATAAAAAATGTAGTGTCATAGGTACTCAATCAATCAATCCACTGTTATTTTTATATTCATCTATCACATATTTTTTTTGTGCCCTATAGGGTTAAGATTTTATGAATATCCTTTAAAAATAGTTTTAATAATAATAAAAAATATTATAGGTATTAAGATCGCATATACAATTAGTAATATTTACTAATTAGTAAAATTAGTTACGATATATCATACGTGGATACCTACCAATATTCACCTAACACAATATTTGCAAACATAGATACCTACAACCTACGCTTAATTAAATTAAATATAATGTGAACGCTAATCGATAACAAACAATGAAACCCCATAAGGATAAAATATTCTTAGCTTTTGTTACTTTCAATAACGTTGGTATTTACCATTTAAAACATATCGTGTACGTTTTGCAGTATCATAATGCAGCCAGGTAAGATAATTTATGTATACAAATTATATTAAATTCACGCCGAAGTGCCTTATTAGTTATTACCTATACTATTTATTTTTATGAATAGATTGTATAAATTCTAAATAATAAAAATATAATAATATATTAAAAAGACTAATACAAGACGTGTATATTGTAAATTATCTTCAACGTTGCCTAAGTAGTTTTAATAATTAAATAATGAACGTTGTATTAGATAGGTACCTATAGTAATTTAGTACCTGCCTAAAAATTAAAGAACAAGCATTAAGTAGGTATGTATACATTTTAGAATAAAGAATAATATTTGTATAATATATTCATAGGTACAAATATGTATACATCTACCTATAGAAAATAATTGTTAATCGGACCAATGATTAATTTAGATAATATTAATATTTGATGTATAAAATATAAATTGAAGTACAATTTTTTGATAAAAATTGTAGCTTCTGGTGTTTAAATATTAACGCAGTTAACTAATAATTATTTGGTGAAAAAAATACATACCTAGGTACCTATAGTTCAGTGAGTTAATTTGGTTTATGAAACTAATTAAATTTACAAAAATAATATATATATTAATAATATAATATAGACCATGTTATGTAATATTGACGTTATGTACCTATACAATTGTATGCTCGGTTTATCGGTTATGTTTTCTTTGTGTTTTTGGGATGGTCTTAATTTAAATAATAATTATTTTATTAATGCTAAATGCTTATTTGTCTTTTTTTACACTTATTCAAACATTCTTTAATATAATTCATTTTTATAGATACCTATATAAACCTATACAGCGCACTGGTAATAATTTTTAATAAATTGTTGTATTAAAAATATATCTAGTATATACTTTATTGGTAAGTGTGCATAGGCTGTAACTAATACATTACTTAATTTACAATAATGTTTAATAGAAAGGCAAATTTGGTAAAAAATACAAATAACTTTTCATTCCACAAAGTCAACTGTATTTAAAGCTATTGTTGTAACAACAATTTATAGCAATATATATATACTAATATTTATGGTTTTTTTTTAGCTAGGGTTACTAAATTTGGAGCTTATGTGTACGAGGATGGTACGAAGTACATAGGAGACTGGAACGATCGAGGTCGAAAACATGGCTTGGGTCACGTCCAATTAAAAGATAACACACGTTATGAAGGAGGTTTCAGCAATGGACTTTGCTCGGGTCTTGGAGTTCTCCAGTATCCGGATGGAGCGAGGTAGGTATACTTTAAAAATAAATAATGTATAGCAAAAAAACATTTTTGTAATTATTATTCTAGTGTAGAACGTTAATGGATATAATATAGTAACTTATCCATGCATTTCTTATTTATATGAACATACTGCAGATACGAAGGTGAATTTATGGAAGGATGGTTTCATGGTCACGGGATGTTTTGGAGGGCTGATGGCATGAAGTACGAAGGACAATTTCGAGGTGGTCGTATTTGGGGATTAGGTAATACAGATTGCAGTACTTACACTTATATAAAATTACTAAAACACATTGACTCAAGAGCTATAAGATCTAATATATTATGTTTGGTTTTGGTATATATATATAAGAGTAGGTAGGTAGTAGATAATATTACAATAATGTACCTACTATAATATATGTATTTAGGTTGTAGGTACGTGCAGTGGCGGTCAAATGATTTTGTCAAGGGGGAGGTATGGCTGATTTTTTAACATGCACTATTTGATCATTAAAAATATAATTTATGGTTATCAGCTCTTAGACATTGGAAAAAAGGTCATGGGGGGATCTAAAGGCCACTGGGTACGTGTCATATACTGATATGCGCATAAGTTTGTGTATCATAATTCTAATACAGGCGTACATATATTGTATATTAAATCAAATAATATAACAAATATATAGTTCCAAAAATATGTAGTATGATTTTTGAAATTGTATAGGTTTAGTAACATTTAAGGACGGATCCCACGGACTTCCGAGACACGAAGGATATTTCAAAGATTGCAAATTTCTACAAAAGAAGAAATGTCCTGCGGTCGTTACAGATGCACAACGAGCAGCATTGATGGCAAGAATACAAACTGAACAAACATAATTTTTAATAAAATTATCTACTCACAGTGTAAAGAATAAAAAAAAATATATCTTGCAAAATATTTCAATTATGAAAAAAATTGTTTAATTCTTGACAAATAATCTACTAGAAATGGGATTTTTTTTATCTCAAACGATTTTGTGATTCTTAATAGTTTTAATGGTAAAAAGACACCACGCAGAGGCTTGTGTTGTCGCTTGTCTCCATCTTACAAATATATACAACATACCACATTTTACGTTCACAATAATCCGTGTTACCCTGTTGTTTTTAAAATTACAGTGGATTGACCTATTATAAAATATGAAGATTGGATTATCATCTAGAACAGCTTTTCTCAACCTGGGAGTCGCGAACATCTAGATGAGGGGTCACATCAGTGATCACTGATCAGTCAGAAATAATTAAACGCCGATGCAGAAAAACAACCTCTTATTTACATTAAAAATAAAATAACTATAATCGGTAGTAATAATTGTATGAAACTGAATTGATTTTGATAAATGTATAGGTTATGAGTGTGCCAAGTCACCAATTACAAACATGGAAAACACACTAAGTCCATGTAAACCATGCAAAAGTCACCAAGTCCAACTTTAAAACCATTCATAAATAACTACTTTGCTTAGAAGAAAATCAATTAAAACAAGCAAGAATACATTTAAAGTTTGAACAAATTGCCAAAGCTGATTCTCGAAAATCATGTTGTTAGACCTAGGGTCTCCGTGCTTTGCATGAATGGGAACGAAATATGCACTATAAACTATGAATAATTAAGTAAAAAGTATAAATTATTGTGATATTTGAGATTGGTTTATACATATTCAAAAGTTTTTATTATAAGGGGGTGGGGTCGTTAGGTGACTGATTTTATTTTTCACCCATTTTGGGGGTTGCGACGTTAAAAGGGTTGAGAAACGCTGATCCAGAGCGTCTCTGAGGATTTTATTAATATTTTAATTTTTAATCACATTTTAAATTTGTAATTTTTTTTTTTAATTTTAAAATGATTTTAACTGGCTTCAAAATTATAATATCAATAAAAGCCTCTAAGATGCTAAGGCATCATAATAATCTTACTGAGGACTGAGGAGATAATTATAGTCATCCTCTAATGACACTCACTACTCACAAATTGATTGATTGATTTTTTTTTTTTTTTATTTGGTTAGATTAATACAGAATTGACATTTAGTATAATACACATTGTGGATTTTGTAAATTAAAAAATATATTGAATAAAGTTTACCTAAATAATAATGAGTCATTAGTCATTGGTTTAGTTTAATCAAAGTTTTATTTTATTTTAAAAGTATTACTTTATTTAATACCATAATTATATTCAGATCTATATTATTGAAAGTATTATATTATTTAAGTCGTAGATATGCACTTCATAATATTATGTTACACTGGGTAGTTCAGTATTTTGGATCATGCATTTCTAACCTAGTGAACTTGACCTTGCACTAGTACAACATGTGATAAATCAAGTGTATACAGACTACACATACACACACACCGCCATACCTATGTATGTATGTGCTAATAAGTAATATTAACATAATATTATATAAATACAATATTAATATATACGTACCTATACAATGTAAACATATCGTTTAGAATTGATACCACTGAATAGTAGTATAATTAGAATTATTATATTTACATTTATTAATATTTATGAAAATTATATAACTACGCCCAATAACGATAGTAAAGTAAAATTTATATTTATTCATTAATCATTACCTACGTGCGTTTTAGTAAAATTCTAGAAATCAGTTATATTTTCTCTCACTTTTAGACATTTATTTTAAGAAATGCATTTTATTGAATATACATTTTGCAGCCTTTATGGTGTTTAGTAGAGTAAAATTATTCCCAAAATAGAAAGACAACCGAAAAAAAATCTATGGTTATATGAGTATTGAAATATAAAATAATTTTAGTTAGAACATCTCGGGGGTTTGATAAAATGTAGGGTGGATGATGAGCGTAGCTAGTCCCTAGTTTATAATATTATAAGGTAGAAATAAATTGAATATAGTTTTTGTAAAAAGTTGTTTGAAATTTTATCTATAGCATTTTATACATACTTATATATTATTTATTATAATATAATATATATGTAAATTATAAATAAATAAAACAATGCTGTATATAATTCAATAAAACATTGTAAAAAAAAAACTATTATGTTTTACATTATACTAAACCACTGACACTTTTGTGGTTCCTGTTATATGTAGATGTTCACTTTAATAGAAAGTTACAGATTTCAATGCAACGAATAAATTATAGTTAATACATACTATATTATAATGTTTATATTATTATAATATACTATATGGTCTAGGATATGGGAAATATTCAAATATATTTAACATAGATTTGGTACATATTTTATTGTAAATATCTGTGTTATAAGTATACTGTTTTATTTGTAATTTAATTTTTGAGTATGTGCATGATATAATATATTATGTTAGAAATATGGATATTTTTTTAATTAAATTTACTATTTTAATAATATCGACGTAGTTACCAACATATAATAATAATAATCGATTCAATTACACTAAATTGTATATTTTACACTTAACTTGAACGTTCATATAATAATTGTGTAGAACCAGGACGTAGGCATAGCTGATCCAACTATATTATTATGCTTTTATACCTACTACTAGGTATAATTGTATAAAGTATATTATAGCTTTGGGGTGTCCAATGTCCATCGTGTACTATTCGTGTTTGTCCTCGTACCAAGGTTCATTCCCGCCCACCTGTGCTATAATAATGTATATTATACCTATTCTGATGTCCACCTCTTGGCTCTTGCAGACTAAACTTTAAAACAGCTTAGATATTATAATTATTTTACTAGACTATATTCATAGAACATTTATTATGAGTTATGTTTTGAAATATTTAAATACCCTCATATTATAATTATGCCATTCTCAGATTTTACGTTACATAAAAATCTATTATTTTTTTTTACTATATAAGTTTATAGGTCAATAAATTAAAATAATAAACAATCTTAATCAATTATTAGAAGCTGTTTAAAATTATAAAAAAGTTATTGACTTGCAGAAACATATATTTTATAATAGGTTCCGTGAGACATCGTACCATAAGTATAATAACTACCTATACCTATGTAATAACTAATATTATATAATATAGTGTTTTGATGAAATAAAAATTCAAAAATAAATTCTGAACAACATAAATTGATTAATATGATAATTCCTCGTAAGATTCAAGTTCATAAGTAGGAACTGTTATACAATTTATGTTAATAGATAGAAGAAAAAACGATGTTTATGAAAATTAATTGAATTGAATTAATAAATTTGTATTATTATTTTTATAATTTTTGTTGGCAGAGTTCCAAAATAAAATGTATATATTAATAATGCCTATTAATAAGTTGAAAATTCAGAATGTTCACTAGTAATATGTTATTTTGAATTAGGAATAAAATATAGTATAACGTAATAAGAAACAAACATTTTTTATAATATATCCAATCAACTATCATTTACTATTATATTAATAAGTGTAATGAGGTACCTGTAGTACGAATTTACAATATATAAGTAGTACCTATATAGTTTATAACATTTAAACCATTAAATACAAACTAGAAAACTCTAACTGCAATTTTGATTGATACAATTTTAATTTATAGGTAATTATGATGATACTAATAAAATCTGAAAAAGTCTAAAATATGATCATTATATACCTATGTTATTATACATCTTATTATCATGATAAAACTAGATGTTTATCCATTAAAATTAAAATAATAATATATGATATACCTAAGTCATACACATTTTATGAATACTTTAATCAATAAATTATTTGCTCGTTTGTATGTCAGTATTTATTATTATATAAATGGAATAGATTATAAGGAAAATTATTGTACAAAATGTATTAACACGCTGCATAACATTTTTAATATTATATTTCCATGTTTAATAATAAATTAATGATTTAAACAAATATTGTTAAGTATATCGCCTTGATAATGATTCAAAAACATAGGTACGCCAACAGACATGTATGTACATTATAGTTGGAATAGTTCTACAACATCTACAGCTAGTTATTGCTAAATAATATGAATACCAGTGAGTTATTTAATTATTATTATTAATTTAATTGTATTATAATATGATGACTTATACTAGAACTAGATATTATTTAAAACTCGTTACCTAACCATGAGTTCAAAACACGCCACCGATTTCGTTAAATAAAAACAGTTCATACCAATTATATTATTTGTATGAAAATTTAACGTTAGTTAAATCGTAATTCTGTTGTTGTGTATTATACACGGAGTAAGGTGTCGGTCGTACCATCAATATACATAGGTATTTTTTTTTTGCCAATATTATCTTTAAGCCTATGTTATTTCCATTCGAATCGCATCAATATATCGATTAATTAATAATATTTAAATAAATAATAAGTCCATTTTAAAAACAATAATTCATAATTTATACCTCTAATATATTAAAATATATAGGTACATATTATAATGTGTCGCAATTAATTGTATATTGCGGGTTAAATACACGTCATCATAATAGGTATACTCGTCGGCATAATATAGGTACTGTAGTTGAACTGTACGTAATGCACAACCACACACACAATATATAATATTAAATATATATAATATGTTATATATATGTTATATATGCAATATCAAGGTCACCTTGACCTAGTCCTGACTAATCAGAAACAGCTGATTGTTGTATTTATCACGTGCTTGCAAATGAGTGACAAACCGTTTGTTATGAATTTTATTCTGTGTTGGTACCTACCTACCTACCCAACTATCTATGATGCGCGTATTTGCAGCGCCACCGCTGTGACCGCTTTTTATATTTAATATTATTACTTGGCAGTGCATTTTTTAATCAACAAAAATGTATAAGCTCTGCATTTGATATAGTACTAAAAGA